CTTAGACCTTCCAGTCAGGCTGGTATGACATGGGTTACAGGTATCCTATCCCAACCAATCACAGAAGACAGTTAGCCGTAACACAGAAAGAATTGCAAATTTTTCGCTATCACTGGGATTTGAACTCTAGACCTGCCACTTGGAGATTAACAACCTATCCACTTCACTAGGTCGTCACACCCCTCAGTATAAAGGATATTAAACTAGTGTGATAATAGATAAGAAAAAAGATTTAGGCATAGGAATTCTAATAGATGAAAAAGTAGAAAAAGCATATAGAAGCAGTTAAAAGAGTTAGTGAATATATACTAAAAGTGAGATTATATTTTAAACAATTAGAATTAGTAGTGCTAGGAGTATACATCCTACTAAACAACAAATCAATTAGTAAGAAAATTTAGCAAAGAATTGTAAAGATAGTAACAAACAGAAAAAAATATACAGAAGTAATTATACTAGGTGATTTTAATCATATAGTAGATAATATACTAAACAGACAGCATCTACAAACATCAAATTACAAAAAACTACTAATATTTAGCTAGCTCAGAAGGCAAAACTTCATAGATTTATACAGAAATCTGTACCTAACAAAAGAAGCATACAGATAGTCAAATTAGGATATAGCTACAAGAATAGATTATATTTGGCTGTCAAAAACACTTGTATCAGGTTAGTATTCCTATGAACCTAAACTGAACTGAACTTTAATCAAGTTCAAGTTCAGGTTTAGTTCAATACTAAACCTGAACTTGAACTTTTTTTAAAAAAAAATTTAGTTTAGATTCAGTATTGAACTTTTAATTCAAGTTCAGGTTTAGTTCAAGTTCATAAATTTTAAATTCAGTTCAGGTTTAGGTTCAATGAGCTGCAAAATTTGAAGTTCAGTTCAGGTTCAATGATTTGCAAATTTTAAAGTTCAGTTTAGGTTCAATGAACTTAGTTTATAATTTAAACTAAACTAGAAATACTAATTTTAAATTTTTTCATCAAAAATCTAAAATTAAACATTTTTCTTTTAGAACTTAAAATTATAAAATAAATATATACTGATATGATGTATTTTTATATCTAAAACAAAGTTACTTAAAGAAGAAAAATAGAATTAATTAGTAAAATTTTAAAATAATAATATTTTTTATAATTTTATTAATAAAATTATGAAAATTGTTATAATTCTTGAAATTTTACTAATTAATTCTATCTTTATTCTTTAAGTAACTTTGTTTTAGATATAAAAATACATTATATTAGTATATATTTACTTTATATTTTTTAAATTTAAAGAAAAGATACTTAATTTTAGATTTTTTTATCAAAAATCTAAAATTAAGCATCTTTTCTTTAAAACTAAAAATTATAAAATAAATATATGCTGATATGATATATTATTATATAGGGTTGAGTCAGTAGAAATCAAGCAAATCAAAAATTTTTCAAAATTGAGGTTTTTTAATAAAGTAATAGAAGTTAATATACTGAATATTTTTTAATTAATAATAAAAGTTGATTAACATAATAAAATTTTAAAGTATTACGATTTTAAATTTTTTGCACACAAAAATTGTAATCCAGAAATTACTCAGGAAGTGTAAATCGATCTACCTCGGATCTTGGATATATTAATTTACTAGTACAATATAACGATAATGATAAGTTTTCTTTATACTGCAAAAAAAAGAAAAAAATAATAATAACAAATGTCTATTAAATTGACATCCAGGTATTAGGTTGGTCACTGGTCATAGTCATATAACATTATCATAATTAAAGTTCATACGTAATTAAAGTTTATACGTATTTAAAGTTTAAATACAGGAAGTACCTGATCAATAGCAGGTTAGAATTATCTCAAACTTTGTCTTGCAAGAGTGAAGGTTTGTAAAAACTTAGATTAGTATACTATGGGCTTTGGCTTTAGTAATTGTTTGTGAATAAAATTCATATGATCGAAGATGCTAAAAGATTGTTCGTATTATATAAATTTTAAAGAACTGCCTGGCCGGCTCTTAGCATTTTTTTTTTTTTTATAAGTTCTTTTATTTAAAAAAATATAACAATACAGTATAAACTTTTTAAAAAACTATTTAGGAATTTTCATAGTAAAGATTTTTCTCAAAAATCTGCAAAATTGATGCAGCCGGTTATAAGAACTGTTAACTAATTTTATATAACCTAAGCACAAAAGCAAAAAAAGTACCTAAAATCAGTATGAGGATATTAGAAATAAAGCAAACCGTTAACTTAATAGGAATGAGATTCACAGTTAAGAAGAACATTGGCATATTAATAGAGTCGAAATGGATGGATATGAGGCATTCAAAAATCTGCTGAGATGAAAAAATCGTTATCATGTTGGTAAAAAGGAACTGGATTCAAAAAGAATAAAAATAAGCTCATTGAAGTTAGGATGTTTATGGGCTTAACATATCAGTTTAGAGTTAATAGCTTTTAAAGTCATAATAATTTCACAATTAACCTGTTATTAATTATTATTAACATAAATTAACTAAGCAATTGAATTTTTGATGATAGTATAGCATTTCTAAGGATGTTGATTAGATGTAGAATGATGACAAAGTGGGAGCATTTAGTACGAGTAATGAGAGTAGTATAAGATAGAGTTGGGTAACGAAACCCGAAACCTTCCAAAACCTTAAAATTAGAATGTTAATAACTAATGCACATTTACTATAAAGTAACTAAAATATTTCTGAAATGCAATCTAATTATCATATACTCTATGCCTTAAAGTCTAGAATTAAAATTCTAATCCTTTCAAACCTAGTATAAGATGAGAGTAATGAGGAAACAATCGCTTGAGAGAATAGTAATGAGGTAATGAGAGGTAGATAAAATAATGAATAAGAAAAAAAGTATAATTAGTATAGAGAATGAAAATTTGGTGAGAGAAAACAGGTTACATACATATCAAAAATAAGAAAATCACACATTAATGCATAAAAATGTGCTCAGAATAAGATAGAATAAAATAGAATCATTGAAGCATAAAAGGAATTTCATGAAAAGGCATGTTGAGATTACTTAGTTGATAAAATTCAAGTGAACATAAGTGGAGGCCATGTAAGTATGTTCAGGTTGAAGCATCAAAGAAACAGGTTCATACAATCAAAATTATAATATATACTAACTTTTTGTTATTTCTCTATATAGAATGAATTGGCTATATTATAATAACTGATAATGCATGTAGAGATAAGTGCATGTACGTATGTACTTACTTGAAATAACAGAATAATGTGCTGATGGTCAGGATAATGCACAGATGTCCATTATTTATGGTTTGATAGTATATATAAATGACTATGATAATTTTATTTGTTTATATTATTGGTATGTACCAATGTCGAGTAATAAAAATTTTTTATTTGATAGTACTTTTTTCGAAATATATAATGAACTAGAAAATTTAAATGATGAGTTAAATGAACTTTATGAAGTTTATCAAACAAATCATTTAAAGGATGATAGTGATAACGATAATGATAATAATTATAAGAATGAAAGTATAATATCTGAAGATGATCAAGATGATGGTTATGAAAATGATCAAGATGATGTAAATAATATTTTTACTGTGAGGCAAATCGAAGAGTTCAAAAAAATTTATACGTTCAAACCTATACAAGCCTTTATTGAGAAAGAAAAAAAACTTCAGCAAGGCTAGAGAAATAGGATGATGAAGCATACCTAAAAAAATTAAAAAATCAATGTTGTCAAAAGTATTGTACTAATAAACTTAACACACAAGAAGCCCTTAACCGATACCGTGAAATTAAAACAATGACTCAAGCTGAAAGTAAATCTTGTTTTTTAGGAATGATAGATGCCAGTGTTAGGTTTGGATTGTTAAATAATGGAATGCCAAAAACATATTTAACAACTAACTACAATTTTGGCAGAATGTCAGTTTGTCAAACTGCCTGATTAACTATATATGATATTGGATGAGCCAGATGGGATTCGTTACGTGCACATTATCAACAATATGGACTAGCTCCAAAAATACATAAATTAAGCAAACATGTTAGTAATTTTGCAATTCTGTTTACTACAGTTTTACATATGTTAAAATTCATTAAAAACTATGCAAATCAACATGGTCTGCCTTCTCTGGGTAAATAAGTAATAATGTTATTTCAATATTTACAATTTTATTAATAGTTTTAAATTATTAATTAGGGCGAAGCCTTCGAGATAATACGAGAGAGATAATCTATCTACCTGCATGTGAAAGTAAACATTCCTTATTTAGGCTTTATGAAAATATTGAAGATAGTGAAGATTATAAAATTAGCCTTTCGAGTTTTCTTCGAATTTGGAAGCTATATTTTTCAGGCATTAAATTTTTAACTATATGTAATGATTTATGTATGCTATGCAAAGATATGCGATTTGGGGCAAAATATTGGCATAAAGATGAAGTTGAACAAAAAATACAAGAGTGGAATGATCATTATAACTGGGCACAACTTGAGTAAGAATATTATTGGTATTATATTTTATATAATTTAACTTACAGTTTAAAAATTAATATTTAGTTTTATCATTTTTTAGGTCGTGTATTATAAAATCGAAGTCAGCTTTAAAAAGCTTAACTAGTTTTTCTCACCCTGGTAAACCAAACTCGCTTGATATTGAGACCCATGTTTCATAGGCTTTTGCTAAGAGTGTTCAAATTCCCTATTCTTCACAATGTGAGAGTGCGATATATTTCAAATCTCTATTCAAAGTAGAAATATTTGGGATATGTGAAGAAGGATTTCCCCAACAGGTAATTATAATTAAAAAATGGTTAATACCGAGAGTTCTGATAGTTACAATTAGGGATGGCCATGATTGGTCATTTTCGGCTAGCCGATTTGTAGCTGTTAGCTATATCTTGCAAGCCAGTAGTCAAAATTGGATTATTTTAGTACTATTCAAATTATCTCATTGAGATGATTCGAATAGTACCAAAATCATCCAATTTGAATTGCTGAATCACGAAATAGCCACAACTTAGCAGGTCGGCTAAGCTGAAAATGACTGACTGTTGCCATCCCTAGTTACAATCTTGGAAACTGATTTGTATAATAAAATTGGTTTTATAAAATAATGGTTTGCAAATCTATTTATTACAAAAGTTCTGCTAATAAAAGAAATATCACATAACAAATAATCTTGAACACTGCTATTTAACGGAATAAGAGCTGAAAAGAATGAACATAAGGTTTCATTAAAATCATCAGAGATAGGATTGACTATATTATTAAGGTGGAATTTAAGTCTAAAGAATGAATATAAGGCATTCGTTTAATATTAAACACTATTATCTAATGGAATAAGAGCAGAAAGGATGAATGTATACTAGAAATATTGTCTAAGTTTGTCCAGATAGGTAGTCAAACAGTTTCTATAGTTAAAAATCAGCTATTAGTATTATCGAGAATTTTAAATATCAATTTAAGGTTTCATCAAAATTGTAAGAGATAGGATCCTGATAGGGTTGCTGTTATTGAAGTAAATAAATGTATTAATTTATTGCATTTTTTGAATTTAAATTAATAATTAGAAGTTTACAAATTCATTTTTTTAATTCTGAAACTTTAAAATTTTGAACTATCAGAATTTTGCAGATCAGGATTTTATATTATATTAATCAATATTGTTGTATTATTAGGTTAATTATTTAATTCAAGAAAGTGAAAGCGTAGGAAAAGGAGCTGATGTGATAATTTCTCTGGTCCATAATTACTTTATGAATCATGGCCTTGGGGAGAAGCATTTGATAATACATGCTGACAATTGCGTTGGTCAAAACAAAAACAATGCTATGATTCAGTATCTAATGTGATGAGTAATAAATGGACTGCATGAGAGAATTACTTATTGTTTTATGGTTGTGGGGTACACAAAATTTAGTCCCGATGGATTCTTTGGTCTTTTCAAATTAAAGTTTCGAAAATCTGAGGTAGATGACTTAAATGATTTAGTATATGTAGTTCAGCAATCTACAGCAGATAGATATAATCAGGCAGAAACTGTCTATGACATAAATGGAAATAAAAAACTAATTTTTTATAGATGGTCCAAATTTCTAGGTCAATTTTTTTCATCAGTACCATCAATTCTCAAACAACACCACTTTATAATCTCTAATGAGAATGTTGGAAAAGTGAAGATTCGGATAACTTGCGATAGTATATCAAAGGAAATCAATATAGCATGAACTGATTCAATTTCTTATATAAAGGGTGCCTTTCCAGAAATTATACCAGAGTGTGGTATTAGTTTGGAGCGGAAATGGTACTTGTATGATGAAATATGACAGCACATTCAGGACCCATCAAAACATGACTTATACTGTGCTAAACCAACCCAACCCAAGCCAAAAAAAGTAAAAATCCCTCCACAATCTAAAACTAGCAATTAATTTTTTTTAAAAAAAATTGATAATTAATTTTTTATTGGTTGTATAAAACTTAACAGCAGGATTACAGTTCATTAGGCTTTTTTTTTCATATTAATACCTTTAGAGTAAATTATTATCAAAGAAAGTAAGTTATCTTGTGTTATATTAAAGGTGTAAAGAAGAATTTTAGTATATCCAAGTCTTTACAAATCATACAAGTAATAGACGTAACATACCTGGTATAGATCGAGAGATAACAATAAGAGTAGCAATACACGATTATTTTATGTATATAAATAAAAAAAATAGTTATAACATGGTGTAGTTAAATATTAGAACGATTCTCATACGTGAGGCTTGAATAAAATCTATTTTGAGATTCTTAGCGATAGTGCCGAAAGAGATACGTGTTAACCAGGGTTGGCAATAGAGCCCAATGGTTATGCGAATGGAGCTCAAAAAACTAGTATTCATTGGCTCCATTCAGAGCTCCATTGGTTCCATTCGCAGCTCCATTGGGCTCCATTGCCAACCCTGATGTTAACCTATAAAACCTTATAAAGCCTTGCATTTGACGAAAAAATAAATATGAAAAAAAACTGTTTTTAACCAGTAATGATGAGAAGTTTTATTACTTAAAATACTGAGTCAGTAGAAATCAAGCAAATTTATTAGATAAATTTGCTTGATTTCTACTGACTCAATTTTTTTGATCATCGATCTTCCGATCTTTTATGGTCATTTGATGTAGACCAATTGGATTTACTATGTGTGATACAAAAATTGGATTATCTCCAAATTAGGGATTTACTGATTTGCTTGATTTCTACTGACTCAACCCCATATGTAGAACAAAGTTACTAAAGAAAAAAAATAGAATTAATTAGTAAAATTTTAAGAATTATAACAATTTTCATAATTTTATTAATAAAATTATAAAAAATATTATAATTCTTAAAATTTTATTAATTAATTCTATCTTCATTCTCTAAGTAAATTTGTTCTATATATAAAAATTATATATATAATATTGAACCTGAACATGTTCATGAACTTTAAACTGAACCTGAACTGAATCAAATTTTAAGTTCAAGTTCAGTTCAGGTTTATAAATTTTAAGTTCAGTTCAGGTTTATGTTCAATGATCTGCAAAATTTGAAGTTTAGTTCAGGTTCAATAAACTTGGTTTATGAATCTAAATTGAACTGAACTGAATCTAGGAACACTACATCAGGTCTATAGAAAGCTAAAATCGAAGAAGCAGAAGGTTTGACAGACAGTAATTATAAAATAATAACAACAGAAATATGTGTAGAACACATAATCGCAAACTGCAGTAGGGCAGAAATTAAACAGAAAGATCAAATAAGAACAATATATCTATATGAAAAAGCAAAACAAAAAGATTAGGAAGAGTATACAAAAGAGTTACAAAATCAGCTAGAATAGAAAAAAGTGTTAAAATAACTAGAAAATGATAATATAATAACAAAATATAGTACAAAGATATCGGATCAAATGTGAAATGCAATAAAAGAAGCTATAATTAAAGTGGCAAACAAACAAATCCTAAAAAAGAAAATTTTTAATACTAATTTAAATAGAAAACAAAACTAGAAAAAAATAATGAAACACAAATACATCATTAAACTTTAGCAAATAATCAAAAAAGCAAAAAATAAAAAAAATCAGAAGGTAAAAAAGAATAAAGGAGTTGAAATAAATAACAAGCTCCAAATTATAGAAAAAGAGCTAGAAGCAACATTGCCAAAACTACATAGGCAGTGGTCAGAAGTCTAGATAGATGATATGAAAGATTGTCAAAAAATAGTTAAAGAGAAAAGAAGAAAGGAATAGGAATAAGCATAAAGAAAACAAATAAAAGAAAACATAAACAGAAGATATGAAATAATCAAAACAGATCAAGGTCGAATGATCACTAGTTTACTAAATAAACTATACAAAAAGATTGTTCTAAACAGATTTATAATGCAAGGCAAAAAAGAAGTCAACCTAATATCAGAACCAGACATAGTTCTAAATGAGTTGGCAGCTCATTTTAAAAATCAGTTTAGAAAACAGAAAACCAAACTTAAAGAAATGACAGAAGAATAAAAAAGAATATATAACCTGAAAGATTAAATTGATGAAACCTGATATAGGAAATTAGAAGAAAGAATAGAAGAAAAAGAATAGGAAAAAATACTTAAAGAGCTTAAAGTGAATACAGCTTCAGGAATATTAGACATAAGCTACATATTAATAAAACTTGCAGAGAAGAAATCACAAAAGATTTTCAGAGGCTTTACAAATCTGATTTTAGAAAAAGAAAACATAGCAAAAAAGTGGAAAGTTGCACAAATATATCCAATTCTGAAAGACATAGACTGAGATTACTGCTTAAACAATATTAGGCCAATAGCATTAATAGAGACATTTAGAAAAGTTGTTACAAAAGTAGTAACAAAAAAATTAGCCTAAGTGTTTACAGAAAGAAATATACTCAAAGGACCAAACTTTGCAGGCCTGCCAGGTAATTCAACAAAGCAGCTGATATACATACTAAACATGATAATAAAGGAGAGCCAAAAAAAGAATAAGAAAGTATAGATTTTGTTACAAGATATGAAAAAAGCATTTGATTTAGTTTCATTAGAAAGACTAAACTGGGCCTTAAAAAGAGTCAAAATTTCACAAAAAACAAAGAAATACATAAGCAATTTGTTTTGTAAATAGAAACTCAAAATTATTACAGTCTATAGTCTAACAGAAGAAATAATAACAAAATACAGAATAGACCAAGATGAGGTAATCTTACCATTAATTTGGTGTCTTTTCTATTATCCATTATTGGAAAAAATACAAGAGAATAAACAAAGAATAACAGAAAAAGTATGCAGTAATAATGTTACAAGATATAGACAAGTAGCAATTGCATATGCTGATGACACAACATGGATTGTGAACAGTAAAGAACAGATGCTAAGAATTCTAAGCATTGCAGAAGAGTTCTTTAAAGCAAATAATATTGAAATAAATGGATCCAAATTAAAGCTCATAGTAATGAACACAAAAACAAAAGAAAAATAAAGAGAAATTACATTTGGCTATAATAAAATAATAGAAGAACCTAAAAACAAAATTGTAAGATCACTAGGAATATGGCTAAATAGCAAGATGAGAGAAGCACTGGTCTGTAAGAAAGCAAAAAGAATAGTTAGTCAAACAGTCAAAGATCTAGATGATGATGAGCCAAATTGCATATATTAACAATACAGTAATAATTTCTAAGCTAAGATATCTCTTACAGCTAATGAAAATGTTAGAAAAGATGATCAATAAAATATATCAACCATTAATATGCTTGGCTAAACATAAGTACAATATGATAAGAACATCAAACAATTGCACAATTGAGCACAAAGACTTAAATAATTGTAAAACTCTAAGTCAAGAGATAATAACTAAGCAAATAAATAGTTTTTTCTCAAGACTCAATAGACAAGATAGTTTGGGCAAATTAACAAGACTTAGAATAGCTTAAGGATGCTAGAAAGCAAGCTTAACAAAAGATATTTGAAACAATAAAAGAAAAAATAAAAGTTAAGAAGTTTTGGAAAAACAACCTAGTCTGTTAAACAATAGCTAAAGCAAAAGAAATAGGAATGAACATTAAAGCAAAAAGACCCTTATAGAAGATTTATGAATATGGCAAACAAATAAAAGACATGCTAGAAACAAAAATATAGATAGCAAGCAGTAGCACAATAAATGAATGAGAGTTATTATACTTGAACCAACTTATAAATATGAAAGGTGATAACCTAATTACATAGAAACAGCTCAAGAGTCTTCAAGGTTTGTCATATAAAGAAAAGAAAATGAGGTAGTTTAGCAAAATAGAAGAAAAGATGTTAAAAACACAAATAAGCAGAGAAATACAAGACCAATACAAAATAAAAAGATACAATTCACAAGTACTAAAGATTAAGTAGACAAAGATGTCTAAAAATTGAAGAAAAAAAGAATGAATTATTTATGGACTGAAACATAACTAACAAGTAGGCAAAGTAATTAGAAAGAAAAAAAAAAAAGTGTTAGCAGAACATTAGTCAATATATATAGAAGAAGGTAGAACAGTGACAGAATTAAGTATATGCAAAGGTTATGAAAACAGTTCAGAACAAATGACAGACAAATGTGAAAGATAGATAAAACAAGACTACAACATGAAAATGATATTAGAGTTGCTAATAGAGAAGGCTAACAATAAAATAAATGCAATATTAGAGCAGATACTAGAAGATAAAATAATAGAAAAATGAAAAAAAGATAAGATGAAGTTACTAAAAATAAGACAAACAGAAGAATTAGAAATAGAATTAATTAGAATACAAGAAATAGAGAGCATAATTACAAAGCAGTTAGTAGAGATATTGGCACGAAACAAGAAGAAAGATAAAAGAAAATACAGTTTCTATACTGACAAAGCATTATATAAGAAGAAAGAAGAAAATGACACAGAAAGAATGAGTATTGGTTAGGTACAAGTAGAAGAGAAAGAAAACTGACCAAAGAAAGAAATTGCATTTGGACTTAAAGGCTGGCCTTCAGCAACAATAGCAGAATTAGTAGCAATATGAATAGCAATCCTAACAGTACCAAAAGAAAAAAGCATAAAAGTTTTTACATATAGCATAGCAGCATTAAGAAACATTAATAGAGCACTTCAAAATATGGAAAAAGAAAAAATCCTAAAAAAAAAAATACAATGTAAATAATGAACATTGTAGATTTAATTAAAAGTAAGAACATTAGAATAGAAATAATCAAGATTAAAAGTTATAGTAAAAATAAGTGAAATAATAGAGCAAACATTCTTGTGAAAAAAGAAGCAAAATGCCAAAATAAAATATATACAAATAAAGTCAAATGTGATAGGATAGAATATCATTTAGAATAGAAAAACAAGAAAATTGATATACTGACAAGACTTCTGTATAAAATAATAGCAAATGCCAGAATAAAAGCTAGTTAGAGAGAGACAAATCCAATATGGACATTAGAACCAGAAACAGAAAATGCATTACATAATTAATCAAGTTTTTGGAAAGAAATAAATAGAACAAAAGAAGTTTATTGTACATTAAGAAAACTTAACACAAGAAAAGTAACAGCAATCAAGTATATAATAAATAGTCTACTATACTTGAAAAGCTAAACAGAAGAAGACCAGAAGTATACACAACAGCAAAATGTCAAGTATGCTAAGCTAGAAAAAAAGAGACTTAGGCATACTTAGCAAGTTGTAGTGAACAAAAAAGTTTGTAGAAATGAATACAGAAAGTTGCAACAACAATAGCATGAAATAGACTCAAAAAAGAGAAAAAAAACAGAATTTCATTACAAGTTCTCTATAAGATATTTTTTGAAGAAACAGAAGTGAAAGAAATCACAAACAGAGAAGTACTGATAAAAGAACTCACAACACTAAAAGTAGAGAAAAGATTGGAGTGATTCTTAAGTAAGCAAGTAATACAGAAGTGTATAGATATAGCTATAAGAACAGTATAGAACACCTTCTATAACTAAGTATAAAGAGTGTGATGTGAAAAAATACAAGCTTGGAAGAAGAAGATTAATATAATGAATAAAATAAAAAAAGATGCTCATCAAAAGAAAAAATAAAAAAAAGAATAAAGAAAGATAAACAAGCAAAAGAAAAAAAAAAAAAAAAAAAAGCAGAAAAGGCAGACTAAGTAAAAAAAGAAGTCTTGAAGACAATAAATATGCTTGTCACAGAAAAGGGAAGACCCTTTTGGTATAGCTTTAAATAGTTAGACAAGTAGTCTATCCTTAACTAGGATAGTGTGACAGGTTGCACTTAGGTGTCATTAGAGTGGCTGAGTGATGTTAGACTTAGATATTGAAAAATTCTATATAATTGAATAAATATATAGTTTTAAGAATTTTAATAAAGTACTAGCATAACTGCTTAAGATTAAAAAAATATATATATAAATTATTAATATTAAAAAAAAATTATTAGTAAATACTCTGCTTTACTTTAAATAATAAATTATATATAAAATTTTTAATTAATAAATATAATATGTTTTAATTTAAAAATTTTTTTTACTAAATAACCTATTTTTGAAATTCTAATTAAAATTGTAAACCTCATCAAAATGTATTTAATAATAATAAAATCAATAAAATTAGAGAACTACTATTTTCATCATAGTTTTTTATTATTTTTATTATGGTTATACAAAATTTTTTATTTTTAGTTTTTATAATAATAATATATATAAATCTTTTAAACTTTAATATAAATTTTTCTTTTATTAACTCTAACTTTAAAATCTAATAAATAAAGATTTCTTGAACTTTTAATTAAAGTTGTAAAACTTGTTTATCTAATTTTAATAATAATTAAATCATTAAAATTGACCTAGTAGATTCCAAGATATTGAGGATCTTTTTGCTCTCTTCTTTGATTCCCAATATCTTGAGATCTACTAGGCCGATTTTGATGATTTAATTATTATTAGAATTAGAAAAACAAGCTTTACAACTTTTATTAGAAACCCAAGAAACCTTTACTTAATAAAAACTTCATTGATTTTTAAAAAATATATTTTTTAAAATTTAATTGACTAATTAAAAATAGAATATTTTAAATATACCATGGTGAAAATAGCAAACATTCATGATGGAAATAGGTAATCCCTAAAATTAATCCAATAGTTGAAATATTTTTAAAAAATGTTTTATAATTATATAAAATTTAAAAAAATTTTTTTTTTAAAAAAATTTTATATAATAATATACTATTTTTTAAGAACATTTCAGGAACTACTAAACCAATTTTGACAGTTTTATTAAATGCATCTTAATGAGCTTTACAACTTTATTTAAAATTCCAAAACCAAAATTTTAAATTAAAACATGCATATTTGACTTAATAATAAATTTTACTTATAAAATTTATAAATTTTCTCAGTTAATAGACGAATTGTCTATTATTGCATTTTGCAAAAAAACGTGACCATCACTGATCATAGAAAATTAGACGATTTTTCGATCTTTAACGTTAAGAGAATTTTACAGATTTCGAAATAAATAAAAATATTACTGATTGAATATATGATTGATAGATATTTAGAATCTCCGAAAATTCCCATTATCGTTATCACAAAAATTGTGGGGTTACACTTTTTTGCAAAACGCAATAAAAAAAAAAACCATACTAAGGTTTTAATAAATATTTCTTAATAATAAAATTAAAATAAAAAAAATTAAAATAAAAGAAATTTTACTACAACTTGCTTTTTTCAAAAATTTTTAACCTTTTCAAACTTTAAGTTTCTCAACAACTATCTAATTAAATTTGATAATTTTATTTTATTTTGTTTTATTTTAATTCTATAACCTTATAAATTAAAATAAACAAATTCGTTGAAATTAGTAATCGAGAAATATTGTTTAAAGTTTTAAAAAAACCTTTAAAATTTAAAAAACTGAATTTTAAAAGAATTTTCATGGTCGATTATCCCCGACGTATTTTGACCCTATCCCCTGGCGTTTCATTGCAGTGGTAATGATAATTCTTTAAAAAAAATTATTTACAAAGAAATAAGGCTTGCAAGTTAATAATTAGTGCAAAATCTCAAAATTTGATTTGTCGTTCCACTACCTCCATTTGCTGTTACTACTGTAATATGGTAGAATTATAATTAATGCGTATATTTTCTATCTTAGACCTTTAAATATAAAACATAAAAGATAGATGTGTATTTGAAATAGTTATGATATAACAAGACGTAACCCGAAATTTTCTTATTTACTAAGTAACGTGGTGGCTAATTTATTAGCACTATGAATGTAGAAATTCTATGTCATAAATACATGTTCATTCCCATATATAATTTGCTAGGTGAATAGATAGTATTATATTTTATTATTTTAAATTTATATGTGACATGTAATGACACCTGTGGGGCTAGTAAATAATTATTGGTTCAGAAATTAGGAAAACCTTGATGCTGTTGGTGACGGCCTCGTCCTCCAGGTCTGTTGGTACTGTTTGCAATATTGAATTTGTCTACAAGCTAATGTCAAGATATTTAAGGAGAATTCAATATCTTCACAATGTAGGTCAACTTTATTGTAGAAAAATTAAAATTTACCTCATTTATAGAATTCGTGCCTTTAGTTATGGTTGCCAAATATGTCGTCAATAAAACATCGTTATATTCCTACAACATAAATTAATAATTATTATGGACAACTGGATTCTCAAAAAAATTTTACAACAAAATGAATAATAAATATAAACCGTGAGGAATTCCTGCTTAAAATCAGCACTGTCAATAGTTGGCATGCGATTACAAAGACCAGCAATTTGACGAAGAATATCGTGATCGACTGGCATTTTCTCTGTATAAACAAGCAGTGATAGATTAATAACTATCATAACTATGAATTCAGAATTAGATAATGGCAGTATACTCACCACTATTCGTCAGATCGAGGTATTGATGAAGCAGCTTTATCCTAGTATGCAGCATTTGGATTGCGTTCCTTTGAGTAGTCAAATGCGCGATAACTGTCGGTATAAAAATTATTTAATATGTCAACTAATACTTAGAGAATTGGAAAAATAACATATTACTTACGAGAAGAACCTTCGCCTCCCTCTCCAAGAGTTGTATGTGCAACATGATCGACAGCGATGCGTTCAGCCTCGCCGGTCTCAATCTTATACTGTGACTTAATGAATAAAGTGTGAGCTTGTCCATCGATTATATCAATTATCGATTCATAAACAGTAATTGGGAGGTTTTTTGATGTGACCATTTCAAAAGGATTCATTTGAAGGAAAAGAGGACTTTCGTTAAACTCTATCATCTAATAATTCAAAAAAAAGGTTGTTATTTGAGTCCACGATCAAGACTATCTTAATACAATATAAGTACCTGCTTATGAATTTCGATGTCAGCTTCGGTTGGAATAGGACCCATAGTGTACCACCCTAGGAAATCAAATTGTGGAAAAACCTGACGGACTAGAATCCACGCGTCAACGAATCAAAATGTGTCGAATAAATAAAACAATCGTTAATTGTTAAGTTATATTAATCAAAAGAAATGCATACATTGTTCTTGTTTCGTTATAAAATATTCATGATTAATTTGGACCTTCCCATCGATAGTATCAAAATCTAACTCATAAGAATTGGAGATTTCAACGTCACGACCAGTTTGAATGCCAACAAGAGCACCAATAACTATATAAAATAAAATTACAGATCTAGTAATGAAAATTATCTTTAAGTCAGAGCAATTACAATAAGTACTATCTATCTATATATCTATCTATACCTTGTGGGTTCTGAATCTGCTGTTGCATCTTAATACGTGTGAAATGATCTGATATGTTTAAAAGTGTCAGAGGGTGCCTATGTAAAGCACAGCAAATCTACAATTAGAGGTAATTAAAAGGTTTGAAAACAAAGAAAGAATTTTTCTTACAAAGCGACCATTAAACCAGAATTGTTAGGTGCAGTAGATACCACAGGAGAGCCTTGTGGCTGCGTAGCTGCTTCGCTATCGGGCACTATATCCATATTAACCTCCATCGTGGTCATGGCTGAAAACTTTGGTTTAAGATTTGGATACGGATAACGATAAAGGAATGTAAAAATACTTTTTCGAAACTGCGAGTTCCATGTGACTTCACGTGACAACGTGATCTTTCCGGAATTATGTGGTGCGATAGGGTAACAGGAGCGACTCCTTATGTCCAGAAAATCCCGGACTGAAGATCACTTCCGACCCTATCCGGATCCAATAAAATCACAGTATCTTGTGTAACAAAACAAACGCGAAAAACATAAGAAATTGTAAAAAAACGTAAATAACACAAAATTTTACTATGATAACTAACTTCCGACCTCTAAATAAAAGTTTTCAGAATAAAATTTTACTTATAAGATATAATTATTAATGTTAGATATATAGTGAATTTTTAAATAATAAGTGCAAGTAACTCTTTCCGTAGATCACTTATACCAAAACTACAAAAAAACATTTGATTATTTCTCAACATTCTACTAAGT